ACTACCTATATCCGGGCATAAACCTTGCATAGCAACATAGCTTGTTGAAAGCGCCTTCGATTGAATCCAAGAACAAATCTTTGCGACTAATGTGAGCGGAGATATGTAAGATAAAACATTTTTATGTTGTCATTTTATTACGTTCTTTCAGCGCCGCCCGCCCGGCTGCCGCCGCGCGCAGTCGACGCTAGCGCACCCTGTGGCCGGCCGGCGAAACGGGGCGAAGACAACCAGCTTCCCCCGCCGCCCGCTGGATCCGCCGCTGGCCGGCAGTCCCAATCGAGTGCCAATGAGTCCCAAATGCGGCCCAAATACAGGGTGGGGCAGCATAATCGGGAATGCTTTTTGGGCTCTGGTCATGAGTAGGCATGGCATTATTTTGATAAATTATATCATGGCAATGAAACGCCCAAAAGTTGTGCATCATCTGACATGACTACATCCATGAGCATGCAACTTCCTGGAAAAGAGCAGCAAAATAGTTCGACGGTGCTCCAAGTGCTTTGCGCGCGCCCATAGACACTAATGTTAAACGAGTAAAACAAGAACATTTTGTTTAAAACAATGCCATTCCACGTAAAGGTTGCTGGACAGGTCAACGTGTTATCACGGACGATAAGGATTGTGTGGGGATACTTAGGACAAAAAGTTAACGTAATCGTCGTAAAATAACTCTTAGCAGAGGACATACAAGATGACTCACTTGAATATAAGGAAGAAGCTCTTGAGCATATTAAAAAGAAACAATGTTCAAAACTTCAGCGACCAAAAATCTTATCACCGACTGGAATACGATAAAAAAGAATGGCATGCCATATAGGGGATTGTATCGAGAATATTGCAGCGGTCATGCAAAGTAAACATCCTGTTGAGGTGATGGACCTATGGGTGGTCTTCAAGGGAGGTGCACGTGGTGCACCCTACTTCATCGAGCCCGGATAAAACGAGCACCTCTGGTAAATACATCCACACTCTGGCAGACTCACGTGGAGTCGTCGGAAGAGAGGATCACTGACGGTCCAGATCACGTCTTACGAGGACTCTGTCCGTGCTGGTACTGCAGTGAGGACGACATGTTATTGTGTAGGGCACCTCCACCTGAGATGAACCAAAAACTTCTGGTCCTTCAACTCCGCCGATTTAAATCCGACCAAATTCTTTATATGGAGCGTTTTTTGGTAGAAGTTTAATGAATAACTTATCATCAGTAAAAACGGTCTTCAGTGCAAGGTACGAAGCTGATGGGCGATCATGGACAAGCAGGAGGCTGCACGTGCATGCGCGTGCTTTTGGACCCGCCTTGAGAAGGTCATCGACGCGAAGGGCGGTCAAATAGGATGAGGGATAGGTAAAAGGTGACCGATTGATGGGATGCTGTTAAAATAGTGCTTGGAGCTATATTTTTAAATTCATGACCAAATAATCCCGTTTGATATTTATTCCCGATTATGCTGCCCCACCCTGTAGTTCCAAATGCTAACCCGCGCCGGGCCGGGGGTGTTTGAAACCCCCCCCCCTGCGTTTTTTCGCAGATATCTCAAAAACGGCGGCGCAGAGCGCCGCCGTTTTTGGCACACCTGTTTGTGCATCTTTTCCGCACATGTTGTGAAAATTTCAGACCAAGGTCACCTTAGGTCAGGTCACCAGGTCACGCCAAGTGACCTCACCTCAGAAAAAAATAAGAATGCTCGTCATAGCTACACCGACTGAACGATTGCCTTGAAACTTTCAGCGATTGATTAGAGCAACACTATCTATAAAATGTTCGTCTCGGAATTTTGATATCGGTGACCTAAGGTCAGGTCAATTTTGCGGCCTCTCCATTATAAGTCAATGGGAGAAAATTGAAAAGCGTCTGTTTTGCACGAACGCTATTCTAGACACTCTCAAACATCAAGATGTAGGTGAAATTGACACACTGACTGAACCAGAAAATGGCAACTGTGACCCCCGATATGTCCCCGAGGTCATCTCAGGTCACGAACAGAATCTAACAGTTTTTCGCTAATAACTTCTGATAGAGGCGTGCTAAAGCGCTGAAAATGCCCTAGATGTGTTCGGCTTGACGTTGCCGATGAACTGATATACAACATGACCTTTTCCGGTCAGGTCATGACCTTGACCTGAGGGCAAATTTTCAAGTTGACCTTTCAAGGTCAAATTATAGTTCATTCGACGCGTCTCGACGAGAGGAACACGATGCTGGCAAAAGTAATGTCATGGCTCTTGTGAGTCAAAAGTTATTGCCGAAAAAACGCTTTTCGTAAAAACGGCTATTTTGGAGTTTTTGCCCTCTGGAGGCTAAACCGTTGACCTGAAGTCAAATCTGAGAACATTGCTCAGAAAGGTCTGTAAAAGGGCTATCGAATGCGCTTTTCCGCGGCGCTGTAGCTCTATCGGTTCTCGAGATAGCCGTTGGCAGTTTCAAAAATGCTGAAATAGTCAACATTTTACATTTGGTGACCTCTGGTGACCTGACATTTGACCTGACCGAAAAAATGACCGAAGTGTTTTCATCCTTATTTTGGACGTTCTTTCGATTGCCGGTTACCACGTGTAGCTACCTGGTCCAGGAGCCGAGTTAGAAGCGGGGTGTTCAGACACCCCCCCGGCCCGGCGCGGAATCTCAGAGCACCGGCCCGGCGCGGGTTAACACGCGCGGCAATGCATTTGGTATCATTTGGGACTGATTTGAAACTGCAATTGGCACTGCCCATTGAGTTCAACATTATATGGAACTAATTGGTAGGTACTAGAAATTGGGGAAAGCACCCTCCGAGTCGAGGGTCCACATTTTGCCACCTCTATCTCCTGTGTAATTTTTAAGAACATTTTTTCCCATTTTTTAGGTAGGTATATCGATTTCAGTGATGTAGGTAACTACATGGCGTTTTCAGTCAAAAAGTGGTAAATGTTTAAAAATCGCCAAGAGCAAGGTTTAAAGCAAATTGCAAATTAGGGACATGAACAGACGCAGCTCAACGTGTTCTTTAAAATGGCTATCTCGGATTTTCCATGAAATGCGTTTTTCACCCCTAGAAATTCAAAAAACTTTTTTTTTTAACAGCTTATAAAATCCAAACTTTTGATAGGTATTAAAAAACGGAATATATGTTATAGAGCTCTATTAGAACATAAGTTGTCCCAATTTCAACTTTCTATCTTGATTTTTGACCCCCAAATTGTAAAAAATAGCTCCAACATGCATTGGGCATGGTGACGTCATAAGCATTTTTGCAAATTAGAGGCACTTTTGAATATCGTATGTGAAAACCAATGGCACCACTACTAGATTCCTGGGACAATGCTCGTCTAGAAAAGTGCATTTTTATGTTAAAAGTAAAAAGTTGAAAAATTGACTTTTTTCTTAGCCCTCGTTTAGTTTTGTATGGTATAAACGATTTTTATGCTTACAATGCACACTTAACACCAGCACAGTGACTTGGGGTCACATGTAGGTAACCATTACCATCGGATTCGGCGTGAAAAATAAGCCATAAAACATGTGTCGCACGCCCATGTAGCAGAAAGTGAAAACCGTGACCTTTCGTGACCTGACCTGACCTTGACCCGTACTTAGTATGACCCCTATACGCACATGGTACCTTCACTAGGTCTTTGATGTGATTTTTGGTGAGTTTCGAGCAGCAGCTATCGATTCCGCTGTCCGCAAGCCTAATCATGCAAAACCCCAGAATTTGACCTTTGACCTGATCTTGACCCGAAAGTTGACCTCACTCTTAAAATCTTAAGAGTGCTTTGGGAAGTTCTCGTAGAGATCTTTCAAACGCCGCCTAGCGGGGCTCGATAGGACCATTGGTTCTTGGGATAACAGGGGGGGTCGGATCCGACCCCCCCCCAGGCTGTCGTTGGTACGGAAATAGCCCAGGCGGTGCCGGGTTAACCCTCGCCCATGTAGGGGGGGGGGTTGGTGCAACCCCCCCCCGAGGTTTTTCGGAAATAGTGCAAAAACGGCGGCGCGCAGCGCCGCCAAATTTTGGGTACCTTATGAGGCAAACCTTGCGCATCTTTTGATAAAAAAAATTTGACCGGGTCATGTCAGGTCACGGAGTTATGACGTCACAAAGGGAACAGCCTCCGGCCGGATTTTCACAAACTGAGTGCCAACGCCCGAGGTTTCCTGCCGGTGGTACGGACATCGGTTGATGGATCGTGATGAAACTTCCCATGCATGTTGGGGCAAGTATTGGCTATCATATGGTATAAGAAACTTGACCGGGTCAGGTCAGGTCACGGAGCTATGACGTCACAAGAGGAACAGCGTCCGGTACTATTTTTGAAAAACGCCCGAACCACTATTTTGCTAATTCTTGTCACCTCAATGGGAATATGCAGCAATATTAGCTTCTATAGGGAGCAAATGGACCTTCCAAATCCAAAAATACAATAAGATTTCAAAAATTTAAATTTTGATTTTTCGAATTTCTGCCGCCGACTGTGACCTTGCCGACTTCCGGCGCTCCCAACGCGCCATTTTTAGAGCTAGTGAAACGAAATACATACCAAACGATAGAGAATTGATCAAGGAACACGATAGTGAAGGTTTCAAGTCGATATCTCCCACCGTTTTGCCGCAATCGCCGCGGAAAGTTGAAAAGTCTATTTTTCCGAAAATTTGACCTTTGACCGGTCAAAAGTAGGTCAAATGTTGACCTAGGACCAAAAAATATACCACCAATCGCGAGATCTCGGCGAGAGCAATCCGTTGGTCTTTTCCGCTAAGCTCTACGACGCTCCGTTTTCAAACGCCAAGGGGGGGTCGCACCAACCCCCCCCTGCATGGGCGAAGGTGGCAGATCGCCGTTTACGGGCGAGGGTTAAGACATTTTTCGCGACAGTTTCGTCCCAGCATAGCAAGCGACCGAAATGATGAAAAATAAACTTTTCGGGAAGCGGGACAGCAAAAACAACACGAGACAGTGATTTTAGTTCATATTTGTCCGGTCATAACGCAGGCATTTTAAAGGTTCTTGGGGTTCTTGTACCTATTTTGCTTGTATTTTGCTTTAACAATTGAGCCTCAGCGCTGGTGGTGCTGACCGGAGTGCTTGTTCAGATCTTCGGGTAACTTCTGTATTCGTATTGTGCACTACCCTACCTACGTTAGAATCTTTTTTTAGAGTAACTTTCGTTTTTTAATGCCCATTGCGCGATTCTAGTGCCCTGGAAGCTTCAGTCGGTGACCTCTTGGTACATGGGTTTGTGGTAGATAAGTACCTACCTACAAACTATCTACGTCCTACGAATCGCATGAAGTTTGTGCGAACTTGTAACATATTCGATCACCATAAGCGCCTAATGTTTAGTGTAGCCCATCAGCATTGTTAATCATAAAAATACCTGGCACATAAATGTGGTTATCTGTATGTATGTACATATACCTATAGCATAAAGACCGCAACATATGCTAAACCAGGCCAAACCAAGCTAGTAACCAAGCCTCCAGCGCTGGCGGTGGTCAGACTATCGTTACTGACCTGTTGGTGGTAGCAGTGGAGGATGGAGCAAGCTGCCGGCCGCACTGTCACCAGGGTAGGCCCGCGCACCGCCGCTGCTGCCGCCGTGCGCCAGACGTTCCAGGAGGCCCGCCGGCAGTTCACCGTCCTGCTGAAGCGCTCCTCGAGCTCCCGACCGCTTCTGGTCGCCGCCTTTCAGCAGCTGGAGGCCTGTATAGCCGCCAGCGAGCGGCTGGAGGAGAGGCAGTGGCGCGCTCTGCGTGGCCGACTCGCCAGCCGCTGGCGCAGCCGCAGCGAGGCCGCCTGCCGTCCGCGCCTGGCGCAGCTGGCCAGTCGGCGGCGGCTGCTGGCCGACCAGCAGAGGCAGCTGGACGGCCTGCTGGCGGAGGCGCGCCGGCAGCTGCAGCTGGCCGCGGCGCCGCCGACCGACCTGCCGAGCCGGCTGCTGAGGAAGTGGGAACGGCTGCGGCTGGCCGACCGTGACAGCGAGGACGCCGAGCCGGCGGCCGGGGACGCGGCCGCCGCGCCACCGCCGCCGCCGCCGGCCGCCGCCGTCAAACCGTGGCTGATCGAGGGTCTGAGCCTGGAGGAGGCGTGTGACAAGCGCCGCCTGCTGGAGCGCCTGCGGCAGCTGGAGACGGAGACGGCGCAGCTGGCGGAGCGGCGCGACACTCAGTACCGGCCCGTCACCGACTACAGCCACTGCCTGCGCAAGTACTTCAGCTGCGTCCAGAAGAGCAAACACAGCACCAACGAGCTTATGAAGGTGGGCCGCTGCTATGTGTTCTACACCGTGAGCTGAGAATGAGAGTAAAGTAAGGCTTAATTATTGGTAATGAATGTTTACAGTTTGGATGTAACGCCATTGAACATTAACGAGTTTATTCCTCAGACCCGTGCCAGTCTGCGGCTGCACGCCGCTTGGGTGCGGGACCACCACTGCCGACTGGCCCGGGAGCGGCGCCGCCGGAGCGACGCGCCGCCGCCGCCCCAGGCTGACCCCACGCAGGTGACGGGCGAGCTGCAGCACTACGATCAGCAGTGGCAGGAGGGCATCGAGGTGGAGACGACGGCGGCCGGCGCCGGCGTGGGCGCGGCGTCTGTGGCGCGCGGCGCGCCGCCCCTGGCCGAGCGGCTGCTCTACAGCCGGCTGGACGCGGCCGAGAGCCGCGCGCTGGTCACAGAGGCGGCCGAGCGCGGCGCCTGGTGCCAGGTGGAGTTTGCGCTGGCGCACGACCGGCTGACGCTGACGGCCGACTGCGTGGTGGCCATGTTCGTGTGCTGCCGGTGCCGCGGCCGCTGCTCGTGCCAGTGGACGCGGCTGGCGCTGGCCGCTCAGAGGAGGGTGCCAGAGAGGCCGGCACGCACGCGCGGCTGGGGATGGAGGAAACTGCGCATGGCCACCCAGTTGATCAGGCTGCTGCATAGCACCAAGGCGGAGGGCTAGACCGCGCATGGAATGGACGGTCGGATGATCAAAGGTCCAGCTCCAGATAATACCGCTGGCATCCGTGCGGTAGGGATGTTATGAACTATGATTATACGGTATATATCGTGCTGTCTCGGGCGAGGATAAATGTTTACTTTCGAAATCTAAGCTGCGTTGCGGCATTGACGGTGGTGTGCGGTGTGTATGCCGCATTCTTAGTAAAATGCGACCACTAAAATAAAGACACTTTACCGCAATATATAATCTGTTTTTAATGAAAAACAATGCACATTTTCAATGTCAATTGCTCTTATCAGAAGAAATTAAGATTTACATAGCTAAGTTTTTTTTTATTGATGGAGTTAAGTGCTTGTGCGAGGAACATTGTAATAGTTATTTGAAAATATATAAGCATGACCTATCCTCGATATTGAATAAAACAAAGTGCCGAAAAATGTAATTTATTGACAGAAAATATGTGATATTTCGGCCACTGGCCTTTGTCGAACATATATAATCAAGATAAACAATAGTTTCGTTTCGCCGCATCGCGTTCCAACTGCCTCTACAAAATTACGTACATCAGTTCGTGACAAAATCGATATCGTACCACTGTAACAAAGTATTATAATTCCGTTGAAAGGTGAAAACTCTATCTATGAGTACACAGGTTTAGATACACCTACCGGCCAATAACAATACCTATAATCAGGTTTAGATACCTTCATAAAGCTAGAAAATCATGACAAAGGCTTTAGACCGAAAGAAAGTAAGGACAGTTTAAGACGAAATTATCCTAACATCTGTGAAGACCGCGTGTGGAAGGTGAGTCTATACAAATCAAATGAAAACAAGCACATCAATAAACAATCCAAATCACTAATACATATCTCAAAGGAGTTCGCACAACACATATACACACATGTAGGTACAATGTACATACATATAATTTCACAGGATAGGCCATGACGAATCGTTACTGTTTAGACGTGGGCGGTGGTTCCTGATCATCAAAGACTCGGCTATTTTTCGATCCGGGTGGTCCTTAGACCTGTACATGACTTTCACAGTGAGAGGTACTTTGCCATCTACTGAGATATTAGAGTGGGAGGCCTGGAAATGCTCTCCCATGGGAGTATCTGGAGTTCTATTTTTGAGGTCACGTACATGCTCGTTGAAGCGCAGTCGCAGGGGGCGCTTCGTTTCACCTATGTACACACAGTCATGTCCATCCTGGCGACAAAGTTCACATCGAATTTCATATACAACATTTTTCTGTGTACAATCCCCCATGAACCCAGTTGAACATGTGTGGCATCTCCTAGTCCTACCCCCCGGACAGGCTGGCTTCGACATAGCGGATCGTACTAGTTTGTTTTTTATTTTTTCCTTGTTTTGCCACGCCACCCGTATGTCTAAGCCTGATCTTTTGACCTTACTTTTAATCTTGCACAGCAGCTCCTCGTCTATGTATGGTAGACAACAAAATGGGTACCCTAATCACATTCTACGAAGGCTTCTGCGAGAGGCGAGAGCACAGAGAAGACCTTCGGCTGATGGGCATCAGCGCCGAGCGCAGTTTGACGGGTTCCTTTGTCTACCATACATAGACGAGGAGCTGCTGTGCAAGATTAAAAGTAAGGTCAAAAGATCAGGCTTAGACATACGGGTGGCGTGGCAAAACAAGGAAAAAATAAAAAACAAACTAGTACGATCCGCTATGTCGAAGCCAGCCTGTCCGGGGGGTAGGAGATGCCACACATGTTCAACTGGGTTCATGGGGGATTGTACACAGAAAAATGTTGTATATGAAATTCGATGTGAACTTTGTCGCCAGGATGGACATGACTGTGTGTACATAGGTGAAACGAAGCGCCCCCTGCGACTGCGCTTCAACGAGCATGTAGGTACGTGACCTCAAAAATAGAACTCCAGATACTCCCATGGGAGAGCATTCCAGGCCTCCCACTCTAATATTTCAGTAGATGGCAAAGTACCTCTCACTGTGAAAGTCATGTACAGGTCTAAGGACCACCCGGATCGAAAAATAGCCGAGTCTTTGATGATCAGGAACCACCGCCCACGTCTAAACAGTAACGACTCGTCATGGCCTATCCTGTGAAATTATATGTATGTACATTGTACATTAGGGGTACCCATTTTTCCCGATTTTGGAAATTTGTGGGTGGGGGTGGTTTTTCCCATTATTTCGCGGCTTGTGATTCCAATGATGCCAAAAATATTGAAATCAAAGGTGGTTTAGGGGTCGCGAATTGAGATTGAAATTTGCGTATTTACCTAGAAATATGCCTATTTTACGCTGATAATATATCACACTGAAGGCAAAGTTTTTGTTTTGAAAGTCGGGTTGAGGGGTCATTGAGCGCTCCGTTTTCATCCAGATCGATGTGCTCCATCACGTGGTTCCGGTTAAATGCTTTACTAGCGATCATTACGATGTCGATATTGTAACATTTGGTGAAACCGGGAATCCCGGCGACCAACAACAGGGGCAAACATCCCGGCCCGGGATGTTTTGCTCCTGTTGTTGGTATCATTCTGGTCAGCGTGTAATCATTTTTGATATCTTCTGCCTCTTGAAGGTCATGAGTTGTAATGGTGACCTTCGATGACCTGTGACATCAAATTAAAATGTGACCTACCTTCCAGTTGCCACTCTCAGTTCATGACAGGCTCTTTGTGTCCGTGCAAATAAGCTCAGGATACATCTCACAGATCATGGCTCCGAATGGACTTCAAATCATGTAATTAAAAAACGATCAAACCATTTTGACCGTATGCTTCCACAAGAAACGCAGTCCTGATCGCTCACGGCTACGATGTAATAGACCTCTGAGACAGAGTAGGATAAATCTGGGTGTTCTACCCAAAAATATCAACTTCTAATCCGAAAACATAAACTTCAAAGCGTCGATTCTTTCCACGCCCACCAACCTACTATTCCATTTCTTCAGTGGGGACAGATACACACCGTTCTTGTGGAAGAGTTTCCGATGCAACTGCAGATCATTTACGAGTTGATATTCGACCACACGCGACTAGCCATGCGCTGATACGTGCATGGTTGATATGTGACGAAGACCTTTCACAGCTTCTTGCACAGATCACTTGTGATCTCAGGTACCTATTTGGCGTCTGAGTCTGAAGAACCTAATGTAGCAGGATATTTTCATCCTGCATGGGCCGTATGGTGGTACATACCAGGACGCATCATATAAGGGAGTGTGCGTGCCAATGCCAGGAGTCAGTAAACGGTTCTGCCTCGGAGTTGGCTGAGCCGTCTAGGCTTTGGCTTCTTCCTAATTTTCAGCTTTAAGCAATGACATTCGTCGACTTCAGTTCAACATCAGCTACGGTTTGGACTGAGCCTGTAGAGTGCAGTGTGCAGTGTAAGGTCCGTTATCTTGAAAGGATACTGCTGGCAGCGGCCGTCACCAGCCACTGGTTCCATGACATCGATAGGTATATCTGCACCCGTCTCAAGGCATCAGCTGGTATACTCGTAGGAGCGGCACATGCCCAGAACTGGAGTCACGAGCAGTCGTGCGCGCGTTCGGCCAGGCCAGTGCTGTCCGTCATCAGCAAAATTGCAAACATATTTCTTTCATAATGGGGTGAGGATGGAGTTTCGGTGTTACCGTCCTGTGGTGTGCTTGGCCAGCTTCCTTTCCATATGCACAAACGCACATGCTGTGTGCGGGTTTGGGTGTTTGTGGGGCAGGGGCAAAGCTACACTCATACAGCAGCCACCCGACGGTGGCGTAAAGCTTGCGCCCCTCCCTCAGCCGTCTCTGCAACTCCGGGACTCGGGGAGTTCGGCTAGCGAATTGGCAAAGGTCATCAGTCGTGCATACCGGCATAGCTTAGTGCTGCTTTTATGTCGGTATAGATATACAGAAGCAATTGATAACTTGTTTATCTACTTCATGCCATATTTCCATGCGAGTTATATCGTCACATACCGTAACGGCTTTTAATGCCACTCAAACCCAGATTGTATCGATAGGTCAATGTTCATGTCCTTGGGATCGGTCATTGCCTTTGCTGAATGAGACGACTTATTGAAAATTCGGTGGTTCCAATGAGAAAGCTTCGATCGCTGATTTTTGCCCTCCTGACTACATAGCCATTCGTTCTAAGAGTTGCGGTCTTTAGCTACTAATGACGGTCTAAGCGAGAGTGAGTGTAAATGAGCATATGCTGTTCATTGACCAAAATGATATTTTTGGTGCTCTCTTTTACCGCTGCACGTCGAATATACAACTAAAGCAATGTTGCACGGTGTCTAACAGTCATTAATACCACTGCAACACATTGGCTTTGCATATTTATAGTCGTTCAAATTAAATCATTTTTCCACTAAAATTAAAACTCCAATGCAAGCTCGCGACCCATAAAAGTGGTCTAATATCATTATTTCTGTCACTGCTATAGATCCAGAACAGAGCAAATAATGATGAAATCGATCCCAACCTGTTGGCATGGTAACCTTGTCCCAACATAAAACAATGTTAATTTGGTCGATTTTCTGCTAAAATTAACATGTTCATTTTGAATTCGTGACCCCCAAAATCGTTTGGCTTCGTTATTTTTGGCGGAATCAGAATAGGCCAAATAATGGGAAAATTGACCCCAACCTGTTGGCATGGTAATCTTGCTTCAAAATTAAATAGCATTATTTTGTCTATTTTTCGCTAAAATTGGCATTTTCATTTTTAATTCGCGACCCCTAGAAATCGTTTGATTTCGGTATTTTTGGCACAGGTGGAATCAGAATAGACCAAATAATGGGAAAATCCACCCCCACCTAAAATTTGGAAAATTGACCCAAAAATGGGTACCCCTATTGCAAACCAGTAAATGCTCAAAACGTAGCTTAAATCCGCAGGTTCTGCGTAGCTAAATTTCATTGCCTACTTTAATCTCTGTCAGACAAAGTTTTAGTAGTATGAAAACATGTAATATCTAAAAATTGTCTGAAATAAACTAATCTTTATCTTACGTCCAGAACAACCCACTTGTAGAACCGAAAAAGGGGGCAAAAGTAGATTCCTGCTCGTTCTTGAAAATGGCTATCGAGAATTCTTCGAAAAGTCGAGCACTTCATAAAAAAGAGGGGTGGGCGTTTGACCCGCCCTGGGCGCTTTGCCCCACTCTACCCTACTTGCGATTACACATATGTAAAGGATCAACATCAGTCCAACAGTCTTAATCTTTTCGTTTCATAATATTTATTACTCGCGAATTAAATGTTACTAAGTGTAATGCAGTTAATTCAGTAAGATTATTTTAAATCAAAGCAGTCATTTTCGATGTGTCTGGATACTGTCAAAGATTTCAGAAGAAGAGAAAAATATGGAATATGATGGACCTTACAAGAGTATCCTTCAAATCAAATTGCGTGATTTCCTCCCGACGAAAAAATGTCTGCTACATTTCCGAAATAAAGTGTATGAGAATGGCTCGAATTGCTGATGTCTCTGAACGAATTGTCTGTAAGGTGGTAAAAGATAAATGTAATTGTGAAAACTGGAAGCTACATGTTTTCTTTTTTTAATTAATGAAACGTCTTTCGCATATATTTCCATAGTCCTTTCCTTAATCTGGTATTCTGGCACTCGACATGCAATAAGCTTCGTTTTTTGCTTGTTTCGTGACATACCTCAAACTTCAAATCACCTTTTATTTCGTAAAAGCATATTTCGTGACTTTTGCCTTTTACCCAAATACGATAGACCATCTAATAAGACCAACTTTGTTGAAACTGATTGCAAATCCCTATTGTAATCCAGCAAATTTAATGAATAAGATGCATTTAAGGCACGGGCGTAGGAACGTCATGAAAAGTGGGTGGGCCACCCTGTCAAGGGGCCTCCTTTTCCAGGGGGCCTCCTATTTTCAGGGGCCTCCAACTTTTGCCTCGTCCTGCTGGCTGCTTTCAAGTATGACCTCCAAATCTAGCTTCTGAGATCGGGCAGATGTACCCAGGGGCGTAACCGCTTAAGCGAACAGTGCGGAAAGTCCGCATCATTTTTAAAACTTATTCCCCCTCCGATTTTTTTTAAATCTATCTGCCGCAAACGGCGCATGACCCCTGAAAACCCTTACACAAATGTCTTCTTCGTTTCCCACGTGCCCCCATTAGCTTCATAGGCGCCCTCTTTGGCATATAAGCGCCCTATATATAGTCATCAGAGACATCCCTATATGTCCAGCAGTCGCATACAATGTGCGCTTATCATAGGCGTCTCTCTTTTATGGACACTTGAAGGCGCCTCTCTTTGCCATGCCGGCGCTCCTGTTTCTTATGAATGCACCCCCATGGCATTGATCAATTGCAGTTTGCAGACCTCTATTGCATGTGGACGCCCATATATGTAGGCCTCAGAGGCGCCCCTCTTTCGCATTGAGGCGCCCCTATGGGCTTCATAGGCGCCCCTCTATTGCACGTAGGTGCCCTACTGTCTCAGAACCGCTCCCCTTTGGCATGCAGACGCCCATCTTTCGTACGGAGGAGCCGCTGTGGTTCTTAGAGACGGCATGGTGCTCTGAGACGCAGATGGGG